CACCTGGGTGCTCACTCTAGGGGTGCACGCACCCAGACGCCCACCTCTAGGGGTGCAGCCCCCGGCCAGCCTCCCCTCTCCATCACAACCCCCCCAAGCGCCCATCCCGCACACCCCCGAGCCGGGGGGCCCCCGGGGGGGCACCCAGGGGGCCCGCCCGCGCCCCACGCCCCGCGCCCCACGCCCCGCAGGTCTGGTACATGGACGGCTACTACAAGGGGCGCCGCGTGCTCGAGTTCCGCACCCTGCACGACTTCGTCACGGGCCAGAACTTCGTGCAGCACCTCCTGCCGCACCCTTGGGCCGGCACGGGCCACGTGGTCTTCAACGGCTCCCTCTTCTACAACAAGTACCAGAGCAACGTGGCCGTCAAGTACCACTTCGGGTCGCGCAGCGTGCTGGTGCAGCGCAGCCTGCCCGGCGCCGGCTACAACAACACCTTCCCCTACTCCTGGGGAGGCTTCTCCGACATCGACTTCATGGTGGACGAGAGCGGCCTGTGGGCCGTCTACACGAGCAACCAGAACGCGGGCAACATCGTGGTGAGCCGYGTGGACCCGCTCACGCTCGCCGTGCTGCGCAGCTGGGACACGGGCTACCCCAAGCGCAGCGCCGGCGAGGCCTTCATCATCTGCGGCACCCTCTACGTCACCAACTCGCACCTGGCCGGCGCCAAGATCTACTTCGCCTACTACACCAACACCTCGAGCTACGAGTACACGGACATCCCCTTCCACAACCAGTACTCGCACATCTCCATGCTGGACTACAACCCGCGCGAGAGGGTGCTCTACACCTGGAACAACGGCCACCAGGTCATCTACAACGTCACGCTCTTCCACGTCATAAAGACGTCGGGAGAGCTGTGACGCCTCCGGACCGCGCGCTGGAGCCGGGCAGCCTTCCTCCTCCTCCTCCTCCTGGTCCACCTTGTCTTTCTCTCCCTCCTTCTCCTGGTCCTCCTGGTCCTTGTCCTCGTCTTCCTTCTCCTCCTGGTCCTCCTGTTCTCCCTTGTCCTCCTCCTCGTCTTCCTCCTTCTCCTTGTCCTCCTGGTCCTTGTCCTCATCTTCCTCCTCCTCCTGGTCCTCCTGTTCTTCCTTGTCCTCCTCCTTGTCTTCCTCCTCCTCCTCATCCTCCTTATCCTCATCTTCCTCCTTCTCCTGGTCCTCCTGGTCCTCCTCGTCTTCGTCTCCCTCCTCCTCCTGTCCTACTCGTCCTCCTGTTCCTCCTTGTCCTCCTCCTTGTCTTCCTCCTCCTCCTCGTCCTCCTTATCCTCATCTTCCTCCTTCTCCTGGTCCTCCTGGTCCTCCTCGTCTTCGTCTCCCTCCTCCTCCTGTCCTCCTCATCCTCCTGTTCTTCCTTGTTCTCCTCCTTGTCTTCCTCCTTCTCCTTGTCCTCCTTCTCCTCCTCCTCATCCTCCTGGTCCTCCTTGTCCTCCTATTCTTCCTTGTCCTCCTTATCTTTGTCTTCCTCCTCTCCTTGCCCTCCTTCTCCTCCACCTGGTCCTCCTCTTCCTCCTTGTCCTCCTCCTCCTCCTCCCTTTCCCCCTCCTTCTCCTTCTCCTCTTGTCCTTCCCCTCCTCTTCCTCCGTCTCCCCTTCCTCCCTCCCCTTCCTCGTCCTCGTCCGGCCTCACCCCGAGTTCTTCCACGATCCCTTTCCATTGGTTTCTTGCCGTGGTTGATGGCGCATGGATCTCGTCTGCCTTCATTCGAGCTGACCTCACTTTGTTCGGTTGGGTTTTTCTTAATTTATTTATTTTGTTGGCAAATAAAACCAGTCTCTTTGACATTTGATGCAGCTGATCCTTTTGTTTTCTTATATATATATATATATATATATATATATATTTTTCTTATGTATATATGTATTTCCAGACCATTTTTACCATTTACGGCTCCGATGGTTCCGCAGTCCTGCTCCCATTCCCGCTCCATTCCCGGTCCTTGTCCCCACGGCAGCAGCTTTCCCAGCCCTCATCCATGGGGCATCAAAAGGAGGAACCTGGGCATTTCCCATGGGAAAGGAGAGGTGGGGACCATTGTCCCTCCTGAAGGGATGGAGAAGGAGGCAGACGGGAGCGGCACAGGGACGGCGGGATGGAAAAGGAAGCGGGATGGAGGGATGCAGGGATATAGGGATGGAGGAATGGAGGGAGGAGGCAGAAGAAAGGAGGAGGCAGCAGGTTAGAGGGAAACGGAGGCTGGAGGGATGGATGAGGCCAGAGGGATGGAGGGACCAGAGAGAGGAGGCAACGTGGCATTCCTGGGGTGATTCCTGGGATGATCCTGGGATTCCTGGGCTCTGTTTGCTCTCCCGGGAAACGGGAGAAATGGGGGGAACGGCCGGGAGCTCCAGGCTCCTTCCGATGCTCCGTGGTGGAAATGCCGGCTCCTTGGGGAATGTCCTCCTTTGGGGACACCTCAATGTCCTCCTTGGGGGACACCACAATGTCCTCCTTGGAACGTCCTCCTTTGGGACACCACAATGTCCTCCTTGGAACATCCTCCTTTGGGACACCACAATGTCTCCTTGGAATGTCCTCCTTGGGGGACACCACAATGTCCCCCTTGGAACGTCCTCCTTGGAATGTCCTCCTTGGGGGACACCACAA